ACCTTCCTTCCTCCCTCCATCCCTCCCACCCTCCCTCCCTCCTTCTGCCTTCCTTCCTTCTCTCTGCATGCCTGCCTGCCTTCCTCCCTCCCTCCTTTCCTTCCCACCCAGTCTTGATAGGCACCATGTTTTGCCCACCAAAATGTCTTCTTCAACAGCCCCACTGGCTCCTAGTTCATTGCAGAACACAACTCAGTCACATGCAAGCGAGCTCCATCATGGCAAATCAAGATACGCCTAGAAATTACCACAACTCTCTTAATTTCATAAAAGAAAGCCTTTTTTTTTGTCTATAGCTGCTCCAATGTTGTTGTTATTAAGCCATGATAGCTCGGGGACCCTTTCCCTGTTACCATTGAGATCTTTAATGCTGTCCACACGGAGATGCCGTTTCCGCTGGATGAAAATGTCCACACTGAATTCTAGTTGGGGAGCCGAGTAGCTGTACTGAAAAAGAGACACCCAAGTATTAGTCTTGGAAAAGATACAAGATTATAGATAGTCAACAGATAATTTAACAGATAATCAGAGTTGGAAGCGACCTTATAGGTCATCTAGTCCAACCCCCCACCCAAACGGGAGACTCTACACCATTTCTGACAAATGGCAGTCCAATCTCTTCTTGAAAGTCTCAAGTGATGACGCTCCCACAACTTCCGAGGGCAAAGCTGTTCCATTGGTTGATTGTTCTGTCAGAAAGTTTCTCCTTATTTCCAGGTTAAATCTCTCCTTGTTCAGTTTCCATCCATTATTCCTTGTCTGGCCTACAGGTGCTTTGGAAAATAGATTGAGCCCCTTCCTCTCTGTGGCAGCCCCTCAAATATTGGAAGACTGCTATCATGTCTCCCCTGGTCCTTCTCTTCACTAGTTCTCAATTTACGGTCACAATTGGGACCAGAATTTCTGTTGCTAGGCAAAGTGGTTGTTAAGTGAGTTGCACCCGATCTCACAACCATTTTTGCCACTGTTGTGACTCATGCAGTTGTTAAGTGAATCTGGCTTCCCCTATTGGCTTTGCTTGTTGGAAGCCGGCTAGGAAGGTCACACGTGACCTGGGGAGACTGCAACTGTGGTAAATACAAGCTGGTTAATCCATGCCGCTGAATTTTGAATCACCTGACCCTCAGGATGTTCTGTTGGTTGTTAAGTGCAAGGACTGGTTGTAATTTTTTCCAGTGCTGTTGTAATTTGAACAGTTGCTAAACAAATGGCTATAAGTTGAGGACAACCTGTATGTTATTGGTATTTTTTAGAGGGGGGGGAAACGAAGGAAAAAATAATATTGACTTCAAAGATGGCCTTCCGAATTATGTCACATTTTGTTGGCTTTCTAGATTCTTGCTTTTTTGCTCTTCAGATTTTAGAAATAAAAATCAAACGGTGTAACATTCTTTTCTTTTGTTAACTGCTTTCCAGATGGTTTGAATGTTCTTTTTACAATCTGATTTAGATCGTTTTAACACTCGTCTTTTTACTTTTTTCCAATTATTTCAGCTGATGACAGGAACATCTGGACCAGTGTGAAGGATTACTATTTTTAGCTACACTTTGGACAGCCTCAGAAAATTAGTAAAATCTACTTTTACTGTCTGGATCTAAAAGCAGCAAGAAATCCCAGAGCTGCAGGCTAAATTAGAAAGTCAAAATAATATCCTGCCACAAAATGGCACACAACTTCCATACTTTTGCCAGAGATATGGATGTGACGAGGACTTGATTTTGGCTCAGTTGAGGCTATCTTTTGTTATTGCATCTGTTTAGCTGAGACCAGCTATTATTTGTTTCCTTCCTTCTCCAGAATTTTTTTCATCACCGAATATTCCAGCTGGTCAGTGAGATCTACTGGCTTTCCTGTTTCTCCCCCCATTCTATTTTCCTTTGGATCTTGGCTATTAGATATCGAAGCGGGGGAGTAACATATTTCCAATGACAGATTTTTACAAACTTTATTTACCCAGCCTTCTTTGGCTATGCTTTGGCAGCCACCGAGAATCACTCAACATGTGGGTGGCCTTTTAAAAATATCAAATGAGATGCATGGGTATATATGCGAGGCAGTCTGGTGTAGTGGTCGAGGCACCAGGCTAGAAAGCTGTGAGTTCTAAACCTGCCTTAGGCACAAAGCCAGCTGGGCCACTCTCTCTCAGCCCAACCCGGCTCACAGGATGATTGTTGTGGGAAATAGGAGGAGGAGGAAGTACAGGTAAAATGTTTTGCCCCATTTTACAACTTTTCTTACCGCAGTTGTGAAGTGGATCCCAGCAGTTGTTAAGTCAGTAACATGGTTGTTTAAATCAATGGTCGCCAACCAGTGGGCTGGGGACCACTGGTGGTCCGCGAGAAAATTTTGGTGGTCCTTAGAGAAATGTCCCCCCCCCCAAAGCACTCCCCCCAAAGCAATTAATCCAGGCTGTGCAGGAACACAAGGCTGTGCCGCCCACATGGCCTGCCCACCCGCTGGCCCTCACCCTTCAGACTAGCACAAACCTTGCCTTAAGTAGAGCCACGCGAGCTGGAACTGGAATATAAGACCAACGGCGGGGGAGGGAAATCCGCCCCGGGGTGGCTTGCTGACACTGGTGGGAAAGTCGGTCCCATATTCCAGAGCTGCAGTAGTCACAAGACTGGCCCTTTGGTCATCCCAGAGCAGCTCCTCCAGTCCATGGCAGGCCGGTGCACCCGGATGGAGGAGCAGCTGCTCCAGGATGACCAAAGGGCCAATCCTGTGACTACTGCAGCTCTGGAATATGGGACCGACTTTCCCACCAATGTCAGCAAGCCACCATCAGTCAAAATTCATATTAGTGGTCCGCGGGATTTAAAATTATGAGTTTGGTGGTCCCTGAGGTCCAAAAGGTTGGCGACCCCTGGTTTAAATGAATCTAGTTTCCCCACTGACTTTGCTTCTCAGAAGGTCATAAAAAAGCGATCCAATGACTCTGGGACATTGCAACATGCATGAATACATGCCGGTTGCCAAGCATCCGAATTTGGAGTCGTAAGTGTGAAAAACGGCCATAAGTCACATTTTCCAATGCTGCTGCTAAGTTTGGATGTTCACTAATTAAACGGTTGGGACTGCCAGTAGTTAGACATGTTCACTGCCTTGAGTTATTCATAAAAATTGTCAAGCCTGAATTTAATTTGGTGGTAGAATCGTATGAATCCAGTTTGACACACTTGAGGACTGGAAGGGGCGGGGGGGGGAGAGACCTGAGATGGATGAAGCTCCACCCAAAACAACATAGGTGGGCGATGAGTCAGCTGCATTCCAACTGCCAGAGAAAGGAGAAGCGAAGTTGCCAAGAAACTATTTTATATCTTGGTTGGACAATGTGACTTATTGTTTTGGAAAAATGAGAACCTTTGAGTTATAGTGACATGGAAGCCCGGGAAACTTTTCAGTACTGGCTTCCACCAGTTAGTGGCAAGATGTGTAATTAAATAAACTAGTTCTTTGAGGAATTACAATGCCTCCAAATTGGTTTTAATGATGATTGCATTACTTCAAACTTGACAAAAATAAGAAAGGCGGGTATAAATCAATAAACAAATGTTGAGCCCAAAGCGAGGGGAACCGTGGCTCTTCTCCCATGAAGCCCTTACCTGATGCAATTGGCATGTGATGAGGAAAGTGGAAGGGTCATTTTCATCTTGTTCAATATAAGCTTCTACCGACAAAGTCTTCCCCTCCAGAACCAAGGCACATTCATAGTCCCAAAGCTGATCCTTGAAAGGAAAGAAAAGCAGAGTTGATTCTTATGAGTGAGATTCCCGCCTTCCTTTCCAAACCTTCCATATAACTCTTTTAACTTCTTCCGAGCAGGCATCGGTCTTTGCCCTCTACTACGGCATTTAGAATATTTCAAACCCAGGTTTGTTCCATCCCGTTTCCAAATCACTTAGCAAATTTGATCAAGTTTTGCCCAACGCATCTTGCGTGTGCATTTTCATTCTTAACGGCTTTATTTACCCCATGGAGATTCTCAGTCATCCAGGTCATGGTTGTCCCAAAGATGCTTTCCCCCCCCCCCCAAGAGGCAACTGGACTTTCTGGTTTTTCTTTGAGGATACTTCACTTCTCATCCAAGAAGCTTCTTCAGTTCTGACTGGATGGTGGGGAATGGAAGGATTTATACTCTTTGCAGACAGCTGGTCATTTGCATTCTTTTAGAGAGTGGTTGAGGCCCCTTGGAGGTTTATCTGTGTCATCAGTGTCACCTGAGTGGTGCAAATGGGTGTGGAGCCTTCTTGGAGCTGTGTTGTAGATTGGAGATAGATGATGTCATATCCTTCCCCCTCTGTTGAGAGACAGCTGTTCAATTTTAACATAGATGGCCTCTTTAACCCCTCTTTCAAACCAGCGATCCTCTCTGTTCAAAATATGGACTTTGTTGTCTTCAGAAGAGTGGCCTGTGTCTTTTAAATGCAGATGGACTGCTGAATCTACTCCTGATGTGTTTGTTCTCCTATGTTGTGCCGTGCGTTTATGAAGCGGCTGTTTCGTTTCCCCAATGTACAGATTTGCACATGGCTCAATGTATTGTACTGCATATATACCACGTTGATCAGTTTCTGTTTGGGTATTTTATCCTTGGGGTAGACAAGTCCGGTTGCCTCTTGGGGGGAAAAAAGCACCCTTGGCTTTAATTATACCCTTTCCCCCAACATGCACATTTTTTTGCAATATGTCTCATAAAGATACATTTTTTTGTACACTATTCCACACGCCAGAGATTTCGGGCCTGGGGGTGGCTGCTGCCAGGTGGGGGAAGACTTATCTGAGCGACTCGCAACCTTCCCTGCTGGCTTCTTTGTTGATTTTGCTTCTGGGAAACCAGCAGGGAAGGTGGCAAATGGTGATAGTGGGATGTTGCAATGGTTGTGTGAACAGGTTGGCAAGTATCCAGATCACAACCGTGATCGAGAGTGGAGTGACTTTTAAGGCCTGGTTGTAAGTGTCACTCGTTCAGCACCGTCACGACTTCCAACAGTTGCTGAACGAGTGGCTGGTGAGAGAGAACTGTCTGTATGGCATTTGCTTTTGAAGGAAACAGAGCAGAAATATACTTCATATTTTATCTTTCCTCCCACAATCACCAACAACAAAATTTGCAGAATTAATATTTGCAGCAGGAGTAGGACAGTCATAGAAAAGGTGCAAGCAGTGGCGTCCTTCTAAATGTTTAAGAATTCTCTCTGCTGGCTCCATTTCAATCTGTGCAGAATAGCTGATTGGTGTGCTAAGCTAGGCAATCAATCAAATCGTTATTACCGTCCTAGCCCAGCAAAATGCTAGCCTAGTGGCTCAGTTCTGCTCTCAGCTAGCTGGCAAAACTCCAGAACATTTAATAATCGGCTTTCGCAAGCCGGTGCAAGCTGGTTTCCAGCACACCACTGGGTTTATGCCCTCCAGATAGAGCACAGGGTCACAACACCTTCTCACACACACCCCAACTGACCCTCTGCCACCGTCTTGCCTGATAGAGATGAAAGTTTTTTCCAATCAGGGTGATCTTTCTCTGCACGTTGACCGGCATCAGAGAGGATCCCTGGATGCTCGTCACACACGGACAGGCTTCGGGCCCCCAGCTGTACTCCTCCGTCTGAAAGCACACACAAACACGCCAAAGAGAGTAAAAGAGGATTCTGCATAGATTTAATAGAACAGGATAGGCGCAAAACACCAGAAACCAGGTTGTCTTATATAGGTAGTCCTCGACTTCCAACCACAATTGAGCCCAATATTTCCACTGCTAAGTTTGAGACCTTTTACTAAGGGAGTTTTGCCCCCATTTTACGACCTTTCTTGCCACAGTTGTTAAGTGAATCACTGTTAAGTTAATGTTAGGATTGTGAAGCGAATCTGGCTGCCCACATTGACTTTGCTTGTCAGAAGGTCGCAAAAGGGGATCATGTGATCCTGGGACACTGCAACCGTCATAAATATGAGCCAGTTGCCAAGCCTCTGAATTTGGATCACCTGACCATGGGGATGACCGCAATGGCTATAAGTGTCAACTAAAAAAATACTTCTTTGGTCTTTTTTTAGTTGTCAGCAGAAAGGGAGGGGAGAAAGCAGTACATTCCTTAAATGCTTCAGATAATCACTTTGGCAGCCAAAGCTTCTGGTGCGCAAGATTATTAATGGAGAGCATGATTGATGACTCTTGGCTATGGATGTGTCTCATTGGAGAATATACATCCAGGGAGTGGGGGGAAGACCAGGGTCAAGGGTGAAGTGAATGATGCGTCAGAGTCGGCTGCAACCGGGAAACGCCAACATGTCAACTCCTAATCAATCAATCTTTTTTACTCTGAGAGATGCGGCTAGAGACTTATGATTTGAGTGGGGGTGCACGTCGCAGAATCCTGACAATAAGTATGAAAAATGGTCATAAATCCATTCAATGCTGCTGTAACTTTGAACGGCCACTCAATGAACTGTTTTTAAGTTCATTCAGAGAAAGCTGAAACAGGCCCAAAGAACAGATTACCATAAATGTCTGGGTGAAAAGAACTTTCTCTTGTCCATATATAACATGTACAAGATCTCTGATAAAGAGTCTCCCACCATCACTGCTTGGCAGTCTGGAGCCCCAGGCAGGAGGTTCTCCAGAGAAAAGTTCTCTCCTGCTGAAAAGTTTCTATTACTATCCAATTCTACGAAGTGGTGGGTTTTTCCTGCTTTGCCCACATAATGTCTGTGGGATTATCGGCCTTACAGTCAGCTAGTCTAGTTACTAAGTTCTGGAGGAGAAGCACGATTGATTGACAGATGACTAACTTTGGGACCTAAAGACCAGGACTCCTTCCACATCCCTCTCCAATTTGTGGGAGGGAAAAAAAACACCAAGATGAGCCCTTTTTATAATTTGCCCTCATTAATGTGACAAAAAAGGGTTTTAAATACATTTGGCAAAAGATTTACATGATCTGAACAGGAAGCAGAGTATTAAAAATATACTGTATTTCTGTAATACTGCGAGCCACAGTATTCCCTGGGACGCTTGGTGGAAGTGAAAGTTGGGCTTTGAAGAACAGGACAGGAAGAGGATTGACGTCTTTGAATTTGGTGTTGGAGAAGACTTCTGAGAATACCACGGACAGCCAAGAAAACAAACCAGTGGATCATCAAATAGATCAACACAGAGTTCTCATTCAAGGTACAAATAACCAGAAAAAAAATACCCTACTTCAGAGACATTATGAGAAGATTCAAGTCTCTGGAAAAAGGCTCCAATGCAGAGTAAGATGGAAGGAAAGAGGAGAAGTAGGATGACCACTAGCCAGATGGACAGACTCAGTTACAGTAGTGATGAATGCACCACTGGAAGACCTGTAAGAAGCGGCTATGGGTAGATCATCATGAAGGAAATCTATGTGGTTGCTAGGAGTTGAAAACAACTACATGGTTTAGGGTTTCTCTTTTCCCTCACATGTATCTTGCACAAAAACTAAGATACTGGACCAAGATTAAACTTAGGTACAAGCCCACCTTACCCATGAAAGCTCACTGGATGACTTTGGGTGAGTTGCTTCCTCTCATCTAAATCCACCTCATCAATCAAGGTTGCTTGGTAGGGATAAAATTTATGCCACCTCCGAAGGACAAGAGTACAAGTTGCCCTTTGACTTATGACCACAATTGAGCCCAACATTTCTGTTACTAAGCAAGACAGTTGTTAACAGTTGAATTTCGCCCCATATTATGACTTTTCTTGTCACAGCTGTTAAGTGAATCACTGCAGTTGTTAAGTTAGTAACGTGGTTGTGAAGTGAATCTAGCTTCCCTCTTGACTTTGCTTATCAGAAGGTCGCAAAAAAGGATCACGTGGCCCTGGGACACTACAGCCTTCATAAACTATGATCCTGTAGGAGATGATCAGGCTGAGCCAGAGGGAGGGATCAAACGCATCATTAGTCATGAGTCCCTGTGTGCCAGCAAGAAATCTAAAAGTCCAGCCCACCTTGAATTCCTTTCTTAACTGCCGTTAATTTCCTTTAACCATTAGTAGGTCAGATTCTTGTAGAGAGCTTAAGCTTGGAATAAATCTTTATACTCATTTGATGCCCGAATCTCCTGATTTCCCAGGCATCCGAACCAGTTGCCAAGCATCCGAATTTTGACCATGTGACCATGGGGATGCTGCAATGGCCATGTGAAAAATAGTCATAAGTCACTTTTTTCAGTGCCATTGTAACTTCGAACGGTCACTAAACAAATGTAAGTCAAGGACTACCTGTATGCATATATCTCTGTGCATGCATGCAGAGTAAACCAGCCAACCAGCCATCAATGACGCGCAACAACATCTGTGATACTGAAGTGAAGCATGAGACTTACCAAATCCAGAAATCCAGGTGCGTCATATTGATAATCTAGTGGGTTCAGAATTCGAGGGAAATCAGAGATGTCACTCTCAGAGGAATCTCCGTCACCCGAGAGAAGGATGGATGCAGAGAAAGAGGAGGTGTCATTTTCAGGTGGCAGCGAAACCATCCATTCCTCACTCTCCTGGGATTCTACGATGTCTTCAGGAGGAAGCCACTTTGGAAGGTCTGTAGGATAAGGCAACTCCAAAATGGGAGGCTCAGTCTCCAGGTCCATGGGTGGTACGTTAGTAGATGCGGAAGGGCTTCCGGTCTGGTTAGGGGTGAGAGGGTTTAGAGGAGAAGATGTAGGGGCAGAAGATGGAGTGGAGGAACTTCCAGCTTCAAGGAAAGGAGTCCTTCCCTCTAGGACAGGCTGAGGGGTGCTATACATGGCAGTGGAAGAATCCGTAGAGCCATCTTCTGGATCCGTAGCGGGCTCTGAAGTAGGATGCACTGTGGAAGAAAGTATCTCCAGCTGGCTGCTGGAGAGGTATTCTGAGGTAGGACCAAGAGTTGCAGTAGTGGGCACTTCAGTAGGAGGCAATGTCAGAGAATCCCGGGTTGTCTCCAGCAAAGTAACAATACTTGGGGTTGATAGAGGTGCCTCTGTGGAAGTAAGGGTTTCAAGCTTCGAAGTAGTAAGGGCAGAAGTGGCTGGCAAGCTGGTGTAGATAATGGGAATGATGGTGGGGACAGGCGTGGATGTGGTCCCCGGTGTTTCTGAGACCTTAGGGGGTTCAGTGGCCACAACAGGCAAAGATGACTGTGTTGTACTCGGAGTGGCTGAGGAAGGGAATGGGCTGGAGTCCAGGATCTGAGTCTGGAGAAGCAAAAGAGAAGAGACAGCTACTCAGTGCTAGGAGAAGGACAGGATCAGAAGGAGGCCACACTCTGTGGCTGAGTTCATACAACATGCCAAACCACAAAACCAGCTTAGCCATACCGTTGCTGTGTTCACAATGAATGCCATCACCAAACAAATAAACAGCAGTTAGGGTGTGATGTGATAGTGTGGGTCACAGGACATGCTAAGACAGTAGTTGGGCTTCTGCAGTACCAACCCTGAAATGCATTTCAGTGTAAGTCATGTATTATGTAATACCGTTTTTTAAAAACACATGAACAATTCTTGTGCAGTTGGGCACAGTAGTGGTGGTCAGTGATATCCAGGCATGAAAATTAATGCATTTCTGACTTCAGAAAGATGGACTATATGTAAGTAGTAACCCACTGATTCCCAGATTTACTCGAGAAGTATTCGTGTCTCTATGAAGGTCTCATATTCTAAACCAGACCGATGGCCCACCTGAGCTAAGGTGTTTATAAGCTAGGGACAAACTATCTTTTCATTCCCAGTGTTTTTATTGCCATTTGGATCAAGGGTTGCACATGAAATATGTGTACATGCTCACACACATGCATTCACAAATCCCCCACTGTCATCGTTCTCACATAAGTTGCTGATGATGATAATGATGTTATCCATTCAGTCATGTCTGACTCTTGGCGGTTCTATGGGCCAGGTCTCTCCACATCTTCCAATCTTGCACGACTTGTGTTTTTCTATGCCCTGGGTGGAGTCAGCTTTGATGGTGTCCAGCTATCATGTTCTTTGGAGGCCTGGTTTCTTTTTACTGCTAATTCTACCCAACACAATTGCTTTGTGAATTGCCCCACATGACATGGCCAAAATCGGTGAGGAGCAGTTTTGTGATTTAGAAGACCTCTGAAAAACCTACCTTCCTGTTGTAGATGATGGGCCCATTTTCACAGACAGATTTGTGTGTGCAGAGGTGTTGATGGACACACCAATTACACCCCCAATGGCTGCTCACACACCCCTGGCACCTAAGAACAAGAACACAACAGCTGTTAAGTAGACCCAACAAAATCAAAGCGAGAATGCAATCGTGGGAAAAGGCATCTGGGGAAAGGAAAGGTCTCTTCATGGACGTACGGTGCAAATCTCCTCAGGGAAGCCACCGCAGAACAGTCATAAAAGGAGAAAGTTGTTGAGGCAATGAAGATGTCGTGGAAGCGCACCTCCAGCTGAATGGTGATGTTGTCTGAAAATGGAAATCAGTCAGGCTTCAAACTTGATTGATTGATTGAATTTATATTGCCGCCTATTCACCCATGGCAACTCTAGGCAGCTTACAGAATATAAAACCACATTTAAAACAATAAAAACTAAATAAAAAGAATCAAATAAATTAATAAAAGTACAATATAACAAAATCATCCCCCTCGACTTCCACCCCCTGCCCTGATGCATGATCACACAAGCCATTTAATGGGCTCCATCCCGCTCTGGGTTCCCCAGGCCCGTTGGCAGAACCAGGTCTTCAGTGCCTTGGGGAAGAGTATGTCGGCATTTCCCAGTTGCAGCCGACTCTGACACATCATTCGTTTCACCTTTGACCCTGGTCTTCCCCCCATCCCCTGGATGTATATTCTCCAATGAGACACATCCATAGCCAAGAGTCATCAATCATGCTCTCCAGTAATAATCTTGCGCACCAGAAGCTTCAGCTGCCAAAGCGATTATCTGAAGCATTTAAGGAATGTACTGCTTTCCCCCCTCCCTTTCTGCTGACAACTAAAAAAAGACCAAAGAAGTATTTTTTTAGTTGTCACCATGAGTCATACGTCGAGGACTACCTGTTATTCAGAAAACTAGTTGAAGGGAAGCTGAGGCTTCTTCAGGGACAGTGTTTAAAGACAATATTGATGCGGATCACACTCATGAGGCCACAACATTTATGGTTCCCAAGTAACTACTAATAGCTATAATGATTTAAATCTGACTTTGCAGGAGGGTCTGTTAAAATAAGGTGGGCTGATCCCTGTTGAGGACTGTTTCCTCTTGGAGGGTTTGTGGTGCCACAGACAGCTGGGGCAAATACATCTGGGACACAAAATCGAAACTATGTGGTAGTGGGGATATCCATTCTCCATCATCCTTTATTTCCTCCATATCTCTCCATACCAGCTAATTATTTAGCATGTACGAATCAGATTAATGTCATCTATCTGTCTGTCTGTCTGTCTGTCTGTCTGTCTATCTGTCTATCTGTCTATCTATCTATCTATCTATCATCTATCTATCTATTTATCTATTTATCTATCTATCATCTATCTATCTATCTATCATCTATCTATCTATTTATCTATTTATCT